TGGGAGGTGATGAGTTGAGTAGTCCACATGCATGACTATAGAAGCCTACCATATGCCGCTTTGAATCTAAATTTATCTTCGCATATATTTGCCAGAATGGGGTGGGAATTTTGAGGTAAATAATAGTTAAGCTTTAGGATAGAAACAATCGATTTAAGGAAGTAGGGACTTAAAGCTTTATAAAGTTTAGAGTGGAGATAGATTGGCGGCTGAATCCCGTCGTCTTCTGGTGAGATCAACCTACGAATCTTTTCTCCATGCACTTTCATACGAAATGAAGATCTCCCTAATAATGTCCTCTTCACTTCTATATTGTATCTGACGAATTTGCAAGAAAATGGCGAATAACACCAGGCTTCAGACTATTACAATTCATGCTCAATTGATAGAGCTAATTATCGATGGAGTTTGAAATGAAACTATAAAAGAAGACGATTAAATTAATTCCTTTGGTCATTATTCCACCTAAATTCAGAATTTCTGCACATCTTACTTTGCACAAAAGTCTCATAACGCGATTTTAATGTTTCTCTTACCTGAGTCGAGGAGTTCCTTAAAACTTGGTGAACTGGGATAGTTTTGTTATTTTGAGACATATTTTGAAGCCCGGTTATTTCTTCCTTCCCCGTTGAGAGATGCTTTGCGATAAGAAAAGTATATTTAGTCCTTTCCGCGTAGCCTACCCATGCCCTGATCATCTTGCTAAGAGGCTGGACGAATTTGCAAGAAGGTGGAGAATAAAGGCAGGCATAAAAAACAGGTGCTTAATTGTGTTATGCCCACTGGTATAGTAAATAAATAAATAAATATATAAATTAAGCTTGTGCAAAATAGGGCGTTAATTCGGTGGCCCCTGGGCTGAAGTGACCTGTCGCATTAATCACCAAAGTTTGGCGGAACATAAAAGTGTTTATAGACGCTGGTTGTTCGAGCCAGCATATTGCGGAATCTGGACTTGACACAAAGTGACTTAATTAATGGCAATTCGTGCTTGATTGGTAGACCTAGGATTAAAGAAACGTTGAAGAAGACGATTTAACCTGTCTCTTTGGTTATTCTTCTACCCATATTCGCAGTTTCGACACATCTTATTTTATGCAAAAAGATTAGCCTATGAACCAGACAGACTTGCAACAACGCTAATTTAATGGTGCATTTCCTTGCGTTGAGAAGTTTCTATGACTTGATCAACTGAGAAAAATTTTTTACCTTCTTCTAAATTCTCAGACTCATCACTGGTGCATTCGCGCTTGTTAACTTTCGATTACCCTCACACTCACTCGAATGAACAAACCACACGGAGACGCGCATGCATAAATAAGTCATAATATATCTCCGAAAACCTGATTTTTTTGTCTGTGTTTCCGAAATAAAGATGAGTCTAATTTGGTGTCATCACTCTTTCTAGGATTGAAGTAGTTGTAGGAACGTTTTCCAATTCTGATGGTACCTTTAGAGACAGAAGCTTAACTCGTTTTATACGTAACTGAAATAAATTGTTTTGAGAATAGCGTCTGCATTATCTTCCCAATCGAATGAAGCTACAGCAAACTGCGAAGAAACCTTAGTCTTCATGTAGTGCGATCGATCCACATGTCTTGTCATGACACTTTCACACGAAATGAAAGTTATATCGTAGTTATATCGTAAAATGTCATTTTATATTGAATAGCAACGTCTACTACTCATATCATTCTAGGTGGATTAACTAACAGTCCTTCATCACATTAAACGAAATAGGGTTAATAAGGCTCTTATATGTATATATATGTATGTATATATATGATTTATTATTAGTTTTAAAAAATATAGCTATAAACGAAATGTCATATCATATAGTCTTCATTCGCGCCGCCTCTCAGAATCAGGAAAATCAACCATTAGAATCGCTTCATATCGCATAATATTGGATAAGCTAGTGTAGTTTTACACCGAATTGATGGATATCGTGATATATCGAAGCACTTCGCTCAAAATGGCACTGTTCAGCAACTAAGATTTATCATATCGCTTTAAGCCATAGCGTGTCATCATATTGCGTCGTATCGTATTACTTCGCATCATTTTGCAAAATCACGCAGCATATCGTATGCGTTTACATTGCAGCCATCAAATCCTACCATTTCAGACCATTTCGCACAACTCCGCATCTTTACGCACTATATCATATCATATCCTGTCAGATCGAATCATCTCCTAAATCAAATCGCACATACATTTCAGGTCTCAAAATATTAACCTAAATCACTTTACATCGAATATTTTCACATAGTCTCGCAAACTATCGCGCCCCCACAAAAGACTTCCTCTCCCATTAGCTTTGTCTGAAAATTCGTTGTATGCTTTAGTTAATTTCTTGAATTATTTTCTCTTTTGGCCAAATTGCCGTTATCTTCCATTATCATTTCAGCTTTCAGCTGATGTATATATATATATTTAATCATATTTTTTCATTTTCATTATCATTTCAGTACATTTGTATATATATATATATGGTTTTATCCCTAATTTTCTCTCTACGTTAGTTGCAAGACGTGTCTTGCCATGCTATAATCGATTAATATTAAGATTGTGAGGCTTGAAATTAGAATACTGTATGTATTTTACATGTATTATTTGATATCAATTATCCTCCTAGCTTGAGCAAATATTATATATATATATTTGCAAATGTGCTGAAAGCTGAACTGATACTAAATACTGTGATATATATATAAACTAAGTTTTAGGAAGACTCTATGATCAAAAGATATAACTAGATGACGCATTCACTTACAGGAAGAGGTAAACTGAATTGTATCTCATGCACTGTTCTTACGGAGTTCGACCATGTTTGACAGAGCTCAGAGAACTAAGTGTTAAGAGACGCCTAGATATTATTATCGAGAAAAGTTTCTGCGAAAACACGTCTTTTATGAGTGAGGAAAGAGTGGGTTTGTAATAATCTCCTGATGATTGCATGCCATCAGTTTTTTCATTCCATATGCAAACTCGGGCGGAGAGGAGTTAGAAATTGGAATTACTTGGACGAAAGGGGGGTCGTCCGGTAGCTGTGACTGTTGCTTTGCGTGAAGAATCCTAGGCTCACAATCCGTGTTTAGCTTTCGTCAGTCCATTCGTAACGGACACTGATTGAGCATCACCAAGCACGAGAATAAGAATGGTTATTTTTAGTGCATTTATACAAATAATAACATAGCATATTCGGTTATTAGCGAGGCCAATTTACGGATCCATTCCGGTAACTTTCCATACGAAATGGATATCCATATGTCTTCTTTTTACGTGGATACACCAACCAAATTTAATTTCATACGTTTAGCTCTTTTTTTTCAGTATCGAGGGCCTCGTTGAATGGAGGGCATTTCAAAGCGTAAAGTGGTTGTGTTGATTTATGCTTTCGTTGCGTAAACTTGGCTTTACCTCGTTTATGAAATTTAGTTGTGTTCTCAGGACGACCTCGATAAACCTACCCAGAACTGTATCCTCTGCCAACATTGGACCGTAAAAACTTTCTTGAATCTCTCGCCCGCTTCTGAGTCGGCATCGTCGTCGAATTAACCATTGACATAATGACAATTGGGAATTAGAGAGTGGGTGCGATGGGATGGGATACTGTACCATCACAGGACGAAGGAGAAATATTAAAAGTTTTCAATATAAACCTGTACAAGGATAATGATTCCCAATGGTGAGGCTGCCACCACATCTTGGAATGTACCAAGTCGACAGTCTGATGCTGGAAAAAGATATGGCAGCAATGGCAGGAGAGGCAGTCCTAAGTTTGTCTGAAAACACTACCAAGTTGTGAAAACGAGGTCAGACGAATTTAAAGTGGTGATGCACTCGGTTTGCTAGAGTCTATGAAGTAGGATGTGCACTCATTTAACTACCATCCATCCTGAAATCCCTTGGATTGGTTAACGTTTGTGGATAGTCTCGAAGCCTTCTATTCGGCTTCTGGTCATCCTACATTGGCTCGGGCCATATTTTGCTCAAAATACGAATACATTCACTTGGACAGAGCAAATGTTTGTGCGCAAACAAGTTTGGGATATATGAGATATATTCCTCCTATTTTTTAGTGTGATAAAGAGAATGGTAATTGAATTTTCCTACAATGCTATGAGGAGACATGACGTTTCAAGTGGATTTCACAGCTTTGCTTTCCCAAAATCCTTATCACATTAAATGAAATAGAATGAATACGTCTCATATATATCATATACTGGTAGTCTCGGAAGCCTACATATAAACGAAAAATAAGTTTAGGGTATGTCAATTCCCAAGGCACAGTGTAAATATGCAATTAGACGTTTGCTCAAGTTTTCACCAGTTCCTATTTCATATGGGCATTCCAACCGACCGGTCTGACTCTCTTCTTTCCACATCTCAGCAGGGATCCCAACAATGTGGGCGTCGTAAGGTTTTCCAATCTCCCCTTCAGATGTTCCAACTAGGCGCACTTTTTAGTTTTATCTAAGCCCTCTTAAGTGTTTTACAACTAAACTTCAAAAACTGTTCATTTTACAAAATCTCTCGTAGCACAAATGATGCCATTTGCAATGTCTAGGTCTTCCGAATAAGTCATTCTGATGGCCTCTTCTCCATCGCTGACAGGTTCAGACGTTAAGGCGACTGGTGCTTGACATAAAATCTATCAGTCTTCTGAGGGTGTGTCTAGTTGCATTGAACCTCAGGTTCGAAAGAGGCTTTATGGAGATCAAAGATGTAGTAGACAACCATCATTGGGAACGGCAGTTTAAGCATTTAGTTTTGAATACTTCTGTAGGGTAACTTGCGAAAAACGGACAAAGTCCTTCTACAAACATGCGACCATTGTTTTTTTTTCTCGCATATAGTGCTTCCGTTGATCTTTGCCTGCCAGTTCTTCGAGACCAGCCTCGCCAGGACGTCCGGGCTTCAGGTTCAGAAGAGGTATGACATTGAGACGATCGACTATTGCCACGGGTTCAACTCAATCAGCTGTCTGACAGATAATGAATGCTCAGATAGGTACCCCGACCTGGATGTAATCTGCTTTCAATACGCAACTTGCCTCACTTCCTGCATCGAGAGGTCTCAAGTAAGCCCCTCTGTCTGCATTTTCAGTTTGCGAACCAGTTCAAGTGTCATTCACGTTTACATGTACATTCTACTGTCGGGTGGTTAAGTGTGCACTGAGCAATGCTAATGCAAAATAGCGAAATGGATCGTTCATCTTGTCCACTGTCCAACTATCTTGTGATAACTCCAGCTAATGGAGTCCTTCACCCGCCTCCATGGAAACCCGTTGAATACGCTGGTGCGTCTACGTCCTTCAGCCTCTTTTGATGAGAAGAGTTTACGACTCCCCCTCACAGACAAGCTTTGCCTCCCAAGGGGGCAATTTGTAATCAGTCCCAAAATGGGCACAGTTGTTTTAATAGCCCGGAGACCAGTTTCACATGAATAGAAGGCTTCGCACTTTCAAGTAACTTTCAAGCAGACAATGGTAATCTTTTGCTCATATCCTCTTTGCGTCGAGGTCAGACGATCCTAAATGGAGCAAAATGAAGTCAACTTTTGCATTTACTTATTGACACGATACTACATTTTTGCATGATTTTACCGGGTTCGGTTACGATTCTTGCCAGGAAGAAATGAATTGAGTGCGTCAACTGTAGCAAACGCATCAATTTTCGCGTAATCATCCGTTCCCAAAGGTCGTTCCCATGCGGTCTTGACTTCGGTTTCGACCTCATCATTTCCCCTGACTGAGCCCTAACCATGGATGAGTGTGTTGAGAAAAATACACTTCCATAAAACCTGAATCGCAAGTCAGAACAAATCTCATTCAATCTACATCTTTAGTGACAACCTTATGTGTAGGCCTTGGTTTTTTACTAAACTTACAAGATTACTCAAGTATGGCCAGTAGCCGGCTGACCACCGCTATCAGAAATCTGATCTATTCTTTTCCTCTTCTTTGGTAATCACACGTATCTTGTAACACCACGAAGATAAGGAGCAACCTATATTCTCAATAAGCTAAACATAATGGATCGAATCTCGCAGGATGTTCGTAAACCCGGGAGGAGCCTTTGATCTATCGGATGCCAAAATATCGGGCTTTAAGAAAAGGTTCCCTGAATAACATCATATTTGGAGAGATTTGCATCAGATCGAGCATTTCGTGATTTGGAGCGCTCAATTACCATATCTTGTTTGGCCGTCAACACAGTTCAAACGTCGGATCGACTTAGGCTTGGGGAACCCGACGATGATTGCGGTCGTGGTAACTCGGTCAGGGCGTGGCAACGCGACGGAACAGTCGGAGCACAAGGCACAATATGTCTGGGTAAAAGTCAATAAGAAGTAAAAAAGAGTTTTAACTATAGCCTCCTCAGTAGCCCCGCTTCGAAGTGTCTTGGGTGAGCTTCATAGACATCTATTATGACCTGGTTCATATGTGGAAAGTTGGCTTTCGGGTTGCTACCGGAATGTGGCTTGGCAACACAAACTCGGGTGGAAGGGTATCTTATTCTGGCCTCACCTGAAACCGAAAGAGAATCGCTTTGCAGCTGTGACTATTATTTGTGTTTATCCGTGTTCAACTTGCATCTGTATCGTCGTGAAAGGCCTCAGTGAAACGCGAAACGATTCTTTTATAGAATTAACTGAACCACCAACTAAGGACTATGCAAAACTATAGACTAACATTTCCCCTGGTTATGTATTTAATCTCCGAGATGTTTTGGGTCATCTTTCTGTAGCAACTTTGTGCTCCAGATTATTATATATATATATATATATGAATATACGAACATGTAGGATTGAAGCAGATACGTCTTCTTGGTTTCACGCTTGGATGCTTCTGAAGGATGGTTTTCGGCTTTGAAGGTGTCATTCAGCAGAACGGCGCCTCGATTATCTCTTCGCACACATCAACAGTCAAAACTTGTTTACGCTGAGGCCAAAATAAACCTTCCAAAGAAGTAGTTTAGTGATGTGGATCTGATTTAACTCAAATTAAATAGACATGATTAGACGAAAGAGTTACGAATATCACGTTTTTTACGGCTTAACCTTTGCAGCAGATTGATGAGTTTGGTGTTCAAGGGGCCCAATTCACTTGAAAGAATTTAAGAAAAGAAGAAATTGACTCAAAAATGAATGTATTAGTTTTTTGTTAAAAGATAATTGTGACAATTAATTGTGAACCCAACTCGGGTTGGACAAAAAGGCTAGAATTGACTGAAACTCATGTACCTGAATCTCGTTTGCTGTGCAGCTATGATCGAGGAAGGATAAAAAGCAGTCAGGCCAAAAAGTGAAACAGACTAAGCTGCAGAATAGCTTCAGAGCAGTCCTGAGAGTACCAGAGCAACCTTATATCACCTCGTAGCACCAACTTGAAGGATTCCCCCTTCTATCTTGTGCAATACCCAACAAATATTCATTAGACCTTAACTTCTCAGAAGTGACATAAAGCAAATTATTTGTGCTTTTATATCATGCTATAAGTTAGCAGCAGATAAGCAAGATTAGAGGAATCTAAAAAGATTCACTCAGTAGAATCCTGACCTGGCCTTAGTCCAGTTTATAGCTCCCACAATAATCCCACTTATATTTTTCCTGAACTCCAACCATGAACTGAAGCAGATGCACGGCATAGAGTGATTGCAACCTTTTTGAATGGTTAGGGATATCAATCTGATACTTCACAAACCACTAAATGCCGATTATCCAACCCAAAAGCAATTTAAGGCACATTGAATAACTGATATTCTTACCGAATTTACATTAAAGTTATGTCATCAGATGATTAGAAATCCATTGTCACTTCGTCAGTTGGGTATTCTCATGAATAGGATTAAACATCGTCAATTCTGACGAGTTTTCCCAAAGAGTGGTGCAGACCCTGGGTTTTGTCCACGATCTTCTCACGGCCCAAATGTTTTGGCTGTATTCCGCGGCTTGCCAAGCTGGCCTGTCGCTGAGTCGAGTGAGCAGAGGGTGCTGTCGGCATCGTAACGCCTATTCATTTTATCACTTCTTACATCTTGAATAAGACGGCTGATTTAAATGCTAATTCAAGTTCTACTAATAATTTTAAAGTCTACTTATATTATATATAGTAGTGTCATCTATTGCATAGTAAATATATGCATATCCATATACATATGAATGTGTCGGTTTTATCTAGTTTTCGCAACTTGGTCGAGCTTCAACGAGATCTTGTGAAAAGTATCTGGTCCTACGTCCTTTTTCATAGTATTCATAATAATTTCCTGCAACGAACCATTATTTTCCGTTTTTAAGTAGTTTCCGAGACTACCAGATATTATACATACCTACATACCTACATACCTAAATACCTAAATACCTAAATACATACAATATGTATATGCATATATCGGCACTAGTCCTATGGAGCATATGATTTTGGAGTAAGATCTAGCTCGCCTTGAAAAGAAGATATGTTCTGTGAACTAATGAGACCCGTGGCTTGGAGGCCTAGTGATGACGCTTCTGTTAGGGGCTTACGATCCGGCTCCGGTGTTGATGAGACTCCGACTAGGTCAAACCTGAGTTGTGGCCTGGATGAAAATGCAAGGTTGAATGAAAGCGTATGATGAAGAGATGCGTTGTTCGTTTTGGCCCGAAGACGACGATAGATTTCTCTAAGCCTACTCTCCCTGGGCTTCGCTGGCACGTGTTGGTTGATACAAGAGTCGCAGTAGCATACAGTTTGCCGAAAATAGAGAAAGAAAAAGAAGAATTGAGGCTGATAATCAACAAAAAACATGCAGAAACACATAAACTGACAAAATGTGTCTGCCTCAAATTAGGAAAAGTGAATGACAGATTGTCGAATATAGTGAATAATTCATACGAATTTCGCCAGTGAATCAAAGGCACCAATTTGGAGAGAAGCGAACTATTGGTGGGCGTTGATGTAGAGTCCATGTAAACCGTCATCTCAGGAGCTGCCAACGATTCTCTACATTAAGACTAAGCTGTCATAACAAGAATTGACGAAATGCATTATCAAATAGCCGGTCTAGTGGGAATCCTAACGAAACTCGAATTCTATTCGTTTAAAATGCGAAGCCGTTTGAGGTCATATTAGGCGTTCGTCGTTGAGATCGCACTCTGTTCTCCGTTCTTAATTCACACACGCCTAAAATTCTGATCCCAGGTAACAGATGTGTGGCTCTGTCTTAGAATCGTGTAGATATCATCAAAAGAGTACTCAAACAAGTCAGTTGACTTCAAAGACTGTCCTACTTCAGCTTCCAATCAAACCGCTTGATGGCTCCCTTCAGCTTTTATTTAAAGAAAACTCGACTTTAAGGGATTCCATGAAAACCGGTTTTCATGATTAGCATAAGAATGAACCAGATGAATATTATACAATTTTAAGTAGTATCTTTGAGCTAAGAATGCAAAGACCCGTATATGTTTACATTAGCATGAAGCCTTGCGAACAATTCTT